AGACTGTCAAACTACAGCGGGAAGTTAGGAGAAGGTTGAGAGAGTAAGAGATCCAGTGAAGGACTTTTATGCATGCATGTAAGCACTACCGAAAGATGCAAGTCACTGGGGGCAGGGGGATGAGGGCAAGTGCCGGGGGGTAGGGGAAGGCAGGGGGAGGTCAGTGGGGAAAAAAAATAAAAGGAGACATATATACTACTATTTGTAATACCTTAAACTAGGGGTGTCGAACTCAATCAGAGAAGGGGCCAAAATCTAAAATCCAGCCTAAATTGCAGGCCGAATGGTTTACTGAACAGTCATAAACTGTCATTGTGATGGAAACGCAGCGGAGTGCAGTGATGACAGCGCGGTGCGGGCCACATTGCAAGGCCTGGCGGGACGGATTTGGCCCGCGGGCCTTGTGTTTGACACATGTGTCTTAAACAATAAAATGAAATTAAAACAAAGAAACAAAAAAATGGTGGGGAATGTCCAGCCTGCAGACTGTATCAGGCCCAAAAAATCACCAAGGCATCAGGGGTGATTTAATTAAGAATTTGACCAAATTCAGCAGGCTGTTAAGTTGATAATTTCGTATGGCCCGTGAATGATGTTATAAATATCCAAATGCCTTTGGCAAAAATAAAAATAAAAAAAAATGTTCCCCACCGGTCTGAAAATAAGATACTTTCCACATCAAAATAATCATTCTTATGTATCATCATTATTAGGGACAATAAAACATTTTTTAAAACTATATTTGTCCTTCTAGCTGAAGGAAGAAACTGCAGAGATGAAAAGACTCACCATAAACAAATGTACCCTCTAATGTGCCATAAACAAGGCCATTCAGAAAATTTGCAGAAAGTGTGTCTGAATGTGCCCAGGGAGCCAGGAGAGTTTACAGAGGCAGCTGATACCTGAGGGAGCAATGTGCTAGGCAGAACCACCAGGACAGAGGAGTGAGTGACACTCCAGGCAGAGGCAGTGGTACACAGGGGCAATCAGGGATCTGGGACAGGGGAGAGTGAGTAGGTGAAAGAGGGACAGAAGATGCTAGGTTTAGGTTACAGTCAGGGTCCGAATATGAATTCCCTTGTAAATCAAGGAGTAGAGATTGGTCTTTTTTCTGTGGACCCCTGTCACCAGGGTATGTATATTTCCTTAGGAACACTAGTCTCTTGAGAGGTAATGAGGTTCCACAATCAAATAAGTTGAGTCCATTCTGCATTTTATAAACCCCCCCCCTTTTTTTTTTGAGATTCACAACATATATTAACAAAACAGGCTGCTAAAGGAGAGAAGCATATTTAATTTGATCTACCTCCAATGAAAACCTAATAAAGCTACAATAATTAAAACAGTATCATATTAGTTTTAACCACTGGATCAAAATGAAGTTTTTAAAAATAATCCCAAGTATTTTAGAATATAATAAAGGTAGTGATTTAAATCTAAAGAAAAAACTTTTCAATAAATTGTCTAATAGTACCAAGACAATCATGCTTGTAATATCATACCAGGATAAATTCCAGGTTAACATTGGAAAACATAAAATAAGTAGACCTTTCTAAGAAGAAAAAGGACGGCAGAAAACATAACGAAAGATGTAGTGATTTTAAAGACATCTATTTTTAAATTTATTTTTGTTAATCCTCCTAGAGGGTATTTTTCCCATTGATTTTTAGAGAGAATGGAAGGGGAGAGGTAGGAGGAGAGAGAGAGGGGGAAAAAGAGTGAGAGTGAGAGAGAATAGAGAGGAACAGTGATGTGAGAGAAATACTTCGATTGGTTGCCTCCTGCATGTAACTGGACCAGGGCCAGGGATCGAACCACAACACAGGTATATGCCCTTGTCTGGGAATCAAGCCCATGACCCTCCAGTGTGCAGGCTTATGCTCTAACCATTTAGCCATGCCAGCAAGGGCAAAATATCTTTTTTTTTTAGTATTCTTTTTTGTTGTTATTAATCTTCAATGAAGAATCCCTGCCCCCCTCACCCCCCCCCCCATTGGTTTTAGAAAGAGAAGGGAGAGGGAAGAGAAGAGAGGAGAGAGAGAAACACTCATGTGAGTAACTCACATCAATTGGTTGCCTCCCTGAGCCTCAGCTAAAACAGGGAACTTGCAACCCACATACGTGCCCTTGACGGAAATCAAACCCGGGACCCTTCGGGAAGTGGATCAACACTCTATAACCACTGTGAATGCTGGCCAGAGCTTATTAGTATTCTTGAACACTTACTACATGTTAGGAATAAACTAGAGCTGGGTGTACTATGTGAGAGAAAGAGACAGAGACCCCAGTGATCAAGAAGAGATAGAATAAATCATTACATATTCATGCAAAAAAGTTTTTGCCATCCTAAACCTCTCTTTTACATCCCACATCAGTCAGGAAATGGACTGAGCGCTACCTTCAAAATATATCTAAAAGCCATCTACTTCTAGCACCTCCACTGGGTTACAATAACCTCCTGGTTGATCTCCCCACTTCCCCATCCTACTAGTTTATTGTCTTTACACTCAACCACACCATGTCACTGCTTGGCTACAAGGCCTGTATTTCACTCCAGGTAAAGCTAAAATCTTTACATTAGCCTTATAGAGCTCTATGTCCCTCGTCTGCTCCCTCCTTCCACTACTCTGACCGCGCTCTAGTCTAACCACCTTGGCTTCCCTCCCTCTTCTGGAACAAGCCAGGCATATTTCTGTTTTAAGGCCTTTACCCCAGCTGTCCCTCTGCCAAAATTCCCTTCACCCTCTCTTACCTCCTGTACGAGTTGGCTCAAATGAGTTTGACTACTCTACTTAAAATTACAGCGCTCCACTCCCCTGCCACCCAGCCTCTAATACACCTGATGTCTCCCACCCTGTGTCCTACCTGTTCTTTCTTCAGTAGCTCTCATCACTTCTAGTATACTATACAATTTACTTATCATGCTTATTATTTATCTAAGCTGACTACAATATAACCTCCATAGGGAAAGGATCTTTCTTTGTTTTGTTAACTTATATGTCCCAAGACTGTGGTACACAACTGAAGCTGAGTAAAGGAATGAATAAATGTACCAGATAAAGCAGAGATTTATAAACCTAATAATACCCAGTACTTGTATACAGCTGGTGGGAAAATAAACTGAATAAACTTTTAGAGGGTAATTTGTCAATTCAGATCTAAATATCTTATATTAAATACTAGAGGCCCAGTGCATGAAATTCGTGCATGGGTATGTGAGAGGGTGCCCAGTCTGCACCCTCTCACAAACCGGGACCCCTTAGGAGATATCCAACTGCCTGCCTGCCTGCTTGATCACCTCTAACCACTTGCATGCCTCCCTCATCGCCCCAACCACCTCTGTTTGCCTGACTGATCACCCCTAACTACTCACTTGCCTGCCTGCCTCACCACCTCTGACCCTGCTGCCGCAGCTTTAACCAGAAGGATGTCTGGAATGACATCCAGAAGGTCATTCAGCTGTCCAATCTATTTAGCATATTATACTCTTTGTTATTATAGACTAGAGGCCTGGTGCACACAATTGCATGGGGTTGTGTCCCTCAGCCCAGCCTGTACCTTCTCCAATCTCGGACATCCCTCTCACAATCTAGGACTGCTGGCTCCCAACTGCTCGCTTGCCTGCCTGCCTGATTGCCCCTAATCGCTTCTGCCTGCCTGATTGCCCCTAATCGCTTCTGCCTGCCAGCCTGATCTCCCCCTAACCACTCCCCTGCCAGAATGATCAATGCCTAACTGCTTCCCTGCTGGCCCAATTGCCTCTAACTGCCCTCCCCTGCTGGCCCAACTGCCTCTAACTGCCCTCCCCTGCTGGCCTGGTCGCCCCTAACTGCCCTCCCCTGCTGGCCTGGTCGCCCCTAACTGTCCTCCTTTGCAGGCCTAGTCACCCCCAACTGCCCTCCCCTGCTGGCCTGGTCACCCCTAACTGCCCTCTCTTGCCAGCCTGGTTGCCCCCAACTGCCCTCTCCTGAAGCTTGGTCAACCCTAACTGTCCTCTCCTATAGGCCTGGTTGCCCCTGTCCTCTCCTTCAGGCCTAGTTGCCCCCAACTGTCCTCTTCTTCCGGCCCAATCTTCCCTAACTTCCCTCCCTTGCCATCCTAGTCGCCCTTAACTGCCCTCTCCTGCCAGCCTGATTGCCCCTAACTTCCCTCCCATGCAGGCCTGGTCACCCCCAACTGCCCTCCCCTGCAGGCCTGGTACCTCCCCAAGTGCCCTCTCCTGAAGGCCTGGTCCCTCCCAACTGTCTTCCCTGCAGGCCTGATAGCCCACAACTGCCGGCCCCTGCCAGCCATCTTGTGGTGGCCACCTTTGACCACACTGGGGCAGCCATCTTGTATGTTGCAGTGACTATCAATTTGCATATTACTTCTTTATTATATAGGGTTAAAGTCTTTAAAAAGTTCAGCCTTTTCATGAACTAATTCCATTTCTAAGTACACAGTTAAAAAAATGAATCACAGCCGAAACCGATTAGGCTCAGTGGATAGAGCATCGGTCTACAGACTGAAAGGTCTCAGGTTCGATTCCGGTCAAGGGTACCTTGATTGCGATCACATCCCCAGTAAGGGGTGTGCAAGAGGCAACTGATCGATGTTTCTCTCTCATCAATGTTTCTAACTCTCTATCCCTCTCTCTTCCTCTCTGTGAAAAATCAATAAAGAAAATTTTTTTTAAAATGAATTACAGATGCACTTCATTAGCCATTACAAATTATACACATCTATACTTACTATTGTTCATATTTGCTATAGTAACACACGTAAACAAAAACTTAGGGTGTGTGTATTAAAACAAATCTTCTTAACCAGAGACTTAAACACAATTCCCCCCTCTATCTTAGCAGGATTTATGGGATGGTGCACTTCCATACAACATTCTTCATTTGTTCTACAATTTAAAACCCAATCAGAACAATAGCTATTATGTATTACTACCAGCTATTATTGAGCTTTTTCAGAAAACTGTTAGCTTGTTAAAGGTGGTTCCCACCATCACTCACATGACGTCCAGCACAGAGTCATTACGGATGACCTTATGAGAGACATCAGCTAGCAGGAAGAGACCACCATCAGTCCTCCGGATACTAGCTGCATAGCCCGGCCAGATCTGCAATCTGAAGAGATAGATGGGCTTTACCTCAGGGTTTAAAAGAAGCACAGACACTTCCATGCCCCTATCTGAGATAATACTTGAATACTTTCCTTCCCCAGGAAACAAATTCAATTAAATCAACATCATTGTGAACTTACTAAAATACTAAACTATAGCAGAGATTTAACTGGTAAGTTGTATTCACTACCATAAAATACTGAGATTTTTGTCTTTAATATGATGATTTCAATGAAAAATTTATTTCCAGATCATTTACAAGTGAGGAAGAGAAAACCACCAACCTGTGTTGCTGCAGTACCATAGCACTTGTTGGGTCATAGAAGTTTCTCCCCACAAGCTTCATATCTAAAAGTTTCATTACCCTGAAACAAAGAGCAAGAATGGGTTTTCTAGTAGAATCATCCAAAAAACTAAGATCCATTAGTTTTAGCTACATTTCCTTTGGAAGCCGAAAGGGTCTGAAATATTGGTGTCCCTTGTACTATTACAGCTTTTATCATGAGAACACTCTTGACAAAAGAATAAGAAAAATCACCATGACATTTATCTTGGAGTATATGTAACTGACTATAGATTTTCCTAGTTACTGGGTAACCAAAAATAAGTTGACTTTCCATACTCAATTTATATTACTTCCACCATTAACTAAGATGCATGCAAGCGAGTCAGTTTCTAAATTTGTGAATATCAGTCTGGCAAAGAATATTATGCTTGTTCCTGGCAGTTCAGCTTACTAGATAGAAATTAGATTCTGTGTTTCATAAATAACATTATGAAAATTAGGGAGTGTTAAAAAAAAAAAGTTTAAAAATTATGAGCTGTCTTCATCCAAAAATTCAAGTGACTTGGAAAAAAATTATTCCAGCAGCCCTGGCTGGTTTGGTCAGTGGACAGAGCATTGCCCTACCGACTCAAGGGTCCTGGGTTCGATTCCGGTCAAGCGCCTGTACCTTGGTTACGGGCACATACTTGGTGGGGGGTGTGCAGGAGGCAGCTGATCAATGTTTCTCTCTCATCAATGTTTCTAGGTCTCTATCCCTCTGTAAAAAATTAATAAAATATATTTTTAAAATTTCAGCAAAAATCTTTACTCACTACCTCTCCAAGTAGCCCCATCACTAGTACCATTAAATATGCACTTTAAACACCTGTTTTTAAAATTCCTGAGCCCATCCCCCATCCAACTAACTCAAACCTACTTTCACATACCCAAATCTGATAAATCACTGGAGATTTCTTCTGAGTAACTTAGCCTCAGTATCATTCAACTCATCTATATACACTTGTAGTGTATAGTACCATCTAAGCTTCTTGAAGAGCATTGCTACAAATACAAGACTGAGGTTAAGGAAAGTAAAACGTCAGCTGTTTTCTCACCGACGGAAAACAACATTGTAGAAGGGAATGCACAAGTCAGAACAGGGCTCCAGGATCTTGGTCAACTGAATCTTAATGCTGATCTCTGCACCATCGGTTTTCCTGTGACTTTTTAACTCAAGCACCTAATGAATAAATACATGCAAGTAAACAGTAATGACAAAACTACCACAACTTAGCCTAATCCAACTGTGTCCCAGAAAACGCTAAAATATCGAAAATATCTTTTCTTAACATATGAAACTTAAACCATTCTTTGTCACTGAGGTCAAAAGCTTCCTCCAACCACTTCTCTTATGTAAGAGACTCCGTGAAGACATAAATGTAAAAGTTTCTCAGTTTATAATTTCTTTGTTACAGAGAAGTTTAACTTCCCTCTATGAATAGGAAAGTACAACTCAAACATTCAAGAAGTTTATGATTTGCCATCATTCAAAGCCCCAGAACACTCTCAGGTCTCACTTGTTGAAGCTTAACAGGTAGATAGAGAATGGAGCCATCAAAGGCAGTGACGTTTCCAGTGACAGCTTGATGGTCCTTCAACATGCCAAACTTCATGCTTTTGCACTCCACAGCGGGGCTAGAAAATAATAAAGGATTTTATTTCAATTTGATTCAAACAGCTGTGTAACTACTGCTCCATCTAGTGGACATATTAAAAATTCAAATACTATACCTGACTAAAAAAAGAACTTTGACCCAAGGATACTTGCTCATAAAAAATAAAAACCCGTAATTTCATCCACCAGAGACCAATGCCTTAGCATATTATACATTCTTAGTATACATTCTTCCAGAGTTTAGACCACAGAGTCAAAAAACTTATTGTGTAAAGGGCCAGGTAGTAAATATTTTAGGCTTTACCGGCCATATGGTTTCTGCTACAACTACTCAACTCAGCTGATATAAGCACAAAAGCTATGTAAACCAGTAAGTATGGACACAGTCCTGCAAAACATTTTTTAAATTTCTTTATTAAGTTGTTACATATGCGTACTCATTCCCCCATTACTCCTCCTATCCCCCCCACTCATGTCCTCACCTGCCTGTTGCCTGTGTCCATTGGTTAGGCTTATATGCATGCATACAAATCCTTTGGCTGATCTCTCCCTCCAGCAAAACTTTACTATGGAATTGTACTCTAACCTTTTTCACTCAAGGAAATTTCAACTTTTTATTGTTTCATTACCACAAATCTTAGTTATGAAAAACTCTAGCAGCTCCTTTGTACCATGACTGACCCATTACCTCACAGTAATACAAAACCTTGTTCTACAACTGCAAAGTCTAAACAAATCCAAGACTTGAAAGGGTCAAGTATATTCAAATACATGAGTAAAGATTAAAAGTGGTAATCCAATATAGTTGTCCCCAAAACCGAATACTCACATGCTAATATTATATTTCAAAAATGCTTCTTTAAAAAATTCATATACATGCATTTATATGAATACAATATTCAAAGATGTCATTCTAGACTCCCTGTAGTACAAGGAAGATACAATACGACCAGTCTACTTAACACATATGCTCAGTATTCTCTCAGTGGCCTGGCATCCTCTTCACATTGTAACCTCAAAGGTCCAGATCTACAATCGCTAAATGTATAGAATCCATATCTTTTCCTGGTCAATGCAGAGACCTGTAAAGACTCTTATATTCTTTTCTGTTTCATTAACATTTGTCAATCCATTTCCAGATAAAAGGTTCTTCCCTCTTATTAACACTGAATTCCTTCCTTTACTTCCAGAACAGGCCCATTCCCATTCCTTTCCACTCTCCAATGCTCAATTTCACCCTTTTCTAGATACTTCTCTTCACTTGTCACATGTGCTCAGCTCTGCTTTCTTATCTCATAGAAATCTGTAAAGCAATTCTGCTACTCTCTTTAATTATCATTCAATTTCTCATTCCTTACAGACTTTTAAAATAACGGGCAATTCACTGGCTATTCCTATGCTCGCCTTTGTTCTTTTAGTCTAGTTTTTTCTTCATAACTTTAACAAAGGACTAGATTACCAAGGGTGCTCTTAGAAGCTAATTTAATTACCTTTTTTCTGTAGCCAAAGTTAACCACCTGTTCTCTATTCAAATGGGCCCTTCCTTTGGTTTTTAAAACCTGTCTTCAGGGTATTTTTCACTAACTTTTTCTTCTCTTTCACTCCACTTCTTCCTCTTGTACCAATTAGTAATTATCCTTAAAAAATCAGTCTTCCACCTTCCTATTTTCTCCACAGATATTCCAAAACACTCATTTTCACAATTCCAGCTAATAACCTCCTGCTAATATGAATTTTTCATTTTAAAAAAGTACGTTCAGTCTAAAGTTATTGGTATAACATTAAAGTTATTTTCTCTAATTTTCTCACCCTCAAATTTAACCCTAGACCATCACTGAAATATATTTTTTAAAAAATTTATTAACACTGAATTCCTTCCTTTACTTCCAGAACAAAATTTTTTTAAATATATTTCTTTACTGATTTCAGAGAGGAAGGGAGAAGGAGAGAGAGATAGAAACATCAATGATGAGATCATAGGTTGGCTGCCCCCTGCATGCCCTCTACTGGGAATCGAGCCCATAACCCAGCTATGTGCCCTTGGCCAGAATCAAACCTGGGACTCTTCAATCTGCAGGCTGATGCTCTATCCACTGAGCCAAACCAGCTAGGGCAAGAGCTGACAAATATTGATATGAGGCTAATGTAGGAGGAATCCAGGTTTCATGGGATGTGCATATTATATCACAGGGGAGAGGGAATCTTTAAGAAGAGGAATACAAAATTACAGATACAAAATAAGTTTAAAGTTTTGGAAGGGGGTTTATTTAAGTACAAGGTCCTAATCTTAAGCTTCATTAACTTCACAGGAAATCAACTCTAATCTCATGCATAAAACTGCACCTATTAAGTTAAAAGTCTGAATTGGTAATATAGATAAATAAATAAGTTAACCTTAAACTTACTGCAAGGAGCCAAGTACATGCAGTATTATGGGGGTGAAAGAAAAGTTCATTAGAAATTATACAAAAAAAATTCAGCTATTCCAGGGGAATGATTTCATTACTGCTAAGAAGTGAACAATATATAGAGAAAAAAACGTGAATACCTGAAAGTCACATGATATTGATAAACTGCTTCATTATGACATTGTATTTTGATAAGATTCAATCCCAAAGGTTCAGGTATTCCTTTTGATCCCTGCTTCACAAAAAGTTCTCTGGAAAATAAAAATCAAAAGCACCAAAACAAAACAAAGCAAAACCACACACACACACACACACACACACACACACACACACAAATAAGACAGCGTAAAGTAGTATTTTACACTTTGCTTACAGATATACAAAGCAATAATTGAGACATACAAAAGCAAGCTTTGAAGGCTAGTAGATAAATGAGTAGCAATCTCTAATTAAAGAAGCAAGGTCATCCTATTTATCCTAGTAATACCCTGTTTCCCCGAAAATAAGAAAGTGTCTTATATTAATTTTTGCTCCCAAAGATGCGCTAGGTCTTATTTTCAGGGAATGTCTTATTTTTCCATGAAGAAGAATACGGCACACATTTATTGTTAAATGAAAATAAAGGAAATTTATTACCTGTATACGGTACAGTAGTACGGTAGTTGTCAACACAAACCAAACTGTGAATCTTACAGTATCAAGAATTTACTCATTTATTCAATGACAATCATGTCATCATCTTCTGGAACATCATCATAACAATCCAATTCCTGAATTTCCTGGTGAATTTCTTGTGATTCCATTTCTTTCAGAATTAGTGGACCAAATCTCACATGTTTAGCAATAGCACTGTCTTTAAATGAGTACTTCTTGTCAAGGTAGCCTGCTCGCAGTGCATTTGCAATGCAACTGTCAGTGATTTTCTCCCATGAATTCTTCACCCAAGTCACAACTTCTTGCAGTTTAGGTTTCACAAAGTTTACGGTAAATTAATTTTCATTCTGAGACAGAGCCTAGGGGGGCCTTATTTTCAAAGGAGGCCTTATATTTCACTCAGAAGGAAACCTGGAAGTAGGTCTTATTTTCGGAGGATATTTTATTTTCAGGGAAACACGGTATTGCTAAGATAAACAATGCCAGCAAACTTAAGAATACAAGAATGCATTCTATAGAGAAAAATGAATTCTGAATGTTTTTCCTAAATGATTTCCTTATCTTCACCATGACAAAGAAATAGGAAAGAAATGGAAAGTCATGAGTCTACTCTCTGGTACATACTATCTCTATATCATTAATCCCATTTCACTTCATCAGAATCATCCCACCTGTCATTCTCCCCATGAGCAAAAAACAAAACAAAACGAACAACCTTACAATACTGATAATCCATGGAGGACTTCAGACACAACAGAAAAATGTTTATAATACTATTAGAGGCCCGGGGCACGAAATTTGTGCACTTGGGGAGGGGGGTTCCCCTCAGCCCAGCCTGCGCCCTATTTGCAATCCAGGAGACAGCCTTAGTGCTGCTGTGGAGGCAGGCGAGGCTCCTTCTACCACCACTGTGCTCGCCAGCGGTGAGCCCGGCTTCTGGCTGAGTGGCATTCCCTCAATGGGAGTGCACTGATCACCAGGGGCAGCTCTGGCATTGAGGATCTATCCCGATGGTCAGTGTGCATCATAGTGACTGGTCGTTCTGCCGTTTGATGGATTTGCATATTAGACTTTTATTATATAGGACTGGAGGCCCAGTGCATGGATTTGTGCATTGGTGGGTTCCTCAGTGTGGCCTGCAGGAATCGGGCTGAAATTGGCAGTCCAATAACCCCCAAGGGATGTAGCAGTGCATGAAGTAGTAGGCAACCAGGGAGGAGACCTGGCCTGGCTGGGTGCCATGCCCACTCATCTGGCTCCACTGCACCTGTTGCCACCACTACTCAGTAGGCTCACTACTGCTCTGCTGCAGTCTCCACACACCTATCCTAGGGCAATACCAGCATGCCCATTACCAAGAAGCAGCTGCAAGCCATGAGCCCATCTGCCCTTCTGGTGATCAGTGGACACCTGTCATGAGACAGGTTGAACGGTCACTTAGGCTTTTATATAGAGAGACTAAAGGCCCAGTGCACAAAATTTGTGCACCTGTGGGGGGGGGGTGTCCCTTAGTCCAGTCCAGCCTGCACTCTCTCGCAGTCCGAGAGCCCTTGGGGGACATCTGACTGACGGCTTAGGCCCACTCCCTGCCTAAGCCATCAGTCAGACAACCTTAACACTGCCCTGGAGGCAGGAGAGGCTTCTGCCACCACCACTGCACTCGCCAGCAATGAGCCCAGCTTCTGGCTGAGAGGCGCTCCCCATGGAAGCACACTAACCACCAGAAGGCAAATCGTTTTAAGCATCTTTCCCCTAGTGGTCAGTGTGCATCATAGCAACCAGTTATTCCACTGTTTGGTCTATCTGCATTTAGCCTTTTATTATATAGGACTAGAGGCCCAGTGCATTAATTTGTGCATGGGTGGGGTCCGGCCAGCCTGCCCCAATGGGGCCGATAGGGGCCAGGCTGGTGGGGGTAGGAAGACACAGGAAGTCAGCTGGCCCCACCATCGGAGGGGAGGGATGATCAGGGGCCAATCGGGTGGGGCTGGGCAGGGGCTGCTGGAAGTTGGGAGGGGGCCGATTGGTGCATGTCATAGCAACAAGTCATTCCGGTCACTTGGTTTTTATATATATAGATGAGAAGGCTCCCTTCCACATCACTATCAAGCAGAAAGATTGAGCTCCTGACTTACTTTTCCCTGTGCTCTGCAGTCCCCAGTGAAAGACGATCCAGAGACTGTAATAAGGATGGAGGCGGAGGTGGTGGTAATGGCTGCGGGGTAGGACCCCGAGAAGGCAAGCTGATAGGACTGGGAGCCTTGTATATGCCTCTGCCTATACCACACGCTGCTCTTCCTAATGGTAACATAGGCACATCCAAATTCCTTCCACGCATTCTGAAATGTTAAAAAGAAGCAAATCGGGACTTTCTTAATCATACTTCTATCTCTGCCCCACCTAAATGATTCCCTTAAGTCTATATTCTCTTCCTCGAGGAGTCAGCAAGAGGGACATAAGCCTTGGGATTCTCTCCAAGTCCAGTATGCCAGTACGACTCACCCACCAACTGCTACTAATACTGACTCTCAGCCAACTTTCAGGACAGAACTGAGGTGGGAGTTTGACTCCCTTAGATTAAAGAACCACTGCAATCAAATTATTTTATTAAGAGGGCAATTAAAGCTGTGAAGTATCCAGTAAAGAACTACTTTTTCACTCTTTTCCAATCATTAACTGGATCAGTATCTGCTCATTGCTCTTGAAAAGTATCCATTGTTTAATTTAAAACCATGCATTGTGAGCTAATCCAACCTTTTTAGAGTTGTCCTTTTGACTTGCAAAGACATTTCAGCTAAATTTGACAGCTCTCTGAAAAGGGAATTTACCCACCTATTCCAACCAATGGCGGCCTCTGCCATCTTGCTATCACCAGCAGCCAACACTGATGGATCCAGAAAAGTGTGATGGGGTTCTTCTTTTTCCTTACGCACCATACTGATAGCCAAGCCTCGACCTAAAATGCCTCTACCTGAATGGAAGGATCAAACCCCAGCTATCACTGTGAGCTGAACATGTTGTAAAGCATAGTTACTTTTCTGAAGATAAACTGCATGAATTTAAAAATAAGGAAAGTATACATACTGCCATGTTTTCTCAAGTTAGTGTTTTACATACCTAAAGAAGGCATTTTCTGCTTCAGAGAGGTCTGGGACACAGTTTCAAGGCCCAGTCCTTGGAACATGGAGACCAAACCCACAGACTCCTGAGAAAAGTAAAAAATAAAGCCATTCCAAGATATGGTTTAATCACTGATGGCTTTCTTAAAGTCTTGGTAAATAATAAAAATCATCTTTTTTAACGATTGATTTGAGAGAGAAAGAAAGGGAGGGAGGAAAAACATCGATTTGTTATTCTACTTATTTATGAATTTACTGTTTGATTCTTGTATGTGCTCTGACTGGGGATCAAACCCACAACCTTGACGTATTGGGATGCTGCCCAACTGATCTACCCTGTCAGCAGCAGTATATGGTGTGTATTTTTTTTTTTTAACAACCTCCAACAAAACTTACTATTCTTTTTCTGTAGTAATCTTAAGTTTACTGCTGTCACACAGGTTCGAGCTGCCACACATAGACTCAAGCAATTCATTCGAGTGAGAATACAGATTACTGTCATCTATTTTTCTTTTTTACAGAGTATTGTATTTGACACTGTTAACTTTACTTGAAATTGTTATACTGTGTTATTAGGTTTCCCATATATTTGCTTACTTTTTATTTTTTAATCACAGACAAATAACATCTTGAAATTTCTGTATAAAATTAGGAAATATAAGCAGTAGCAATAACTGAAGATCCTCTTTTTTAAAGATTTGGGCCAAGAGAAGTAAATAAAAAGTAAAAAAGATTTGGGCAAAGAGTCTTCTAAATAAAGAGCCATTCTTAACAATTATCATCTTAGAGACAGGAATGGCTGCCAATACCACAGAGCCAAATCCAGAATAAAAATCTAAACACTCAGGAAAGAGCAAAAGGATGTATCTTTAAATCTATCATTTATATATTTATATGTATATTTATATAAGATAGAGGACGAAGGCATTTATCCAAATCCATCTACATTCATTATGAGAAACTTCTTCTAGACTCCAAATTAGAATTTAAAATAATACATCCAGATGATGCCACTATTTGTTAAAGTTAAAACAAAAACAAAACCCAACCCATCAAACAACAACAAAAAACCAACGCTTACTTTCAAATATATAAGACTTCACAGTTTTCTATGTACTCTGAAACCCATTATTTTCTCTGATATGCTGTATGCTGCTATTAAGCGTCCAGACATGGTCTTACCCTTTGTGCCGTCCCATTCTGTGGGTTTGGTTCCTTGGGCTTTCCAAACACGTGGCCTCTGCCTATAGGTCTTGCCCTGCCCAGAGCTGAGTCCAAAGGTTTAGGAACTTGTGGCCAAGAGCCTTGCATCTGTACACACTGAGATGGGTGCCCCAAAGGGCTCCTGAAGGGTGGTCGGACAGGATCCATTGAAAGGCTGTAGAGGATTCGGGTGTAGATCCTGTTCTGATTAATCACCTGCCAGCATTTTATAGATATTAAAGATTCCCAATTGCTTTCCTTTTCCTTCAAGACAGACTCACAAAGCATTAAACACACACACACACACACCTGTACTTTGGGCGATACAACCAGTCTCCTATATCATGTTCACTTCAAAAGTTTCTATGTATCCCAGAATGTTCTAAACACTCCCCATTAGCAATCCTTTAGACTTAGAAGCTAAGCCCTCCTTTAATTTTCCTATATTCTCTACCTAAACAGCCTCTTTGAGAACGCAGCCCTAGGTTAACTGTTTTTAGAAAGAAGTATATTTTATGGATGAGCATGAGAAAATGTATATATATAGTTGACATATGGTAATACTGTCAATAAATATTCCCATAAATTTTTCCCAGTTCATTACCACATGAAACTATTCCATCTCCTCCTCCATCTCCTTAGTAGCCTCTCTGCATCTTATCCTTTTTTTTAAACTCCACCAAAAATGAGATCTCCAAAGTACAGACCTTTTCTGCTTTGAGCCAACACCACTTGCTACATTTCAGGTGACATAGAACAACTGTTTCTCCCCTCGGGTCACCAGGGATGAGGCTCTTCCTGCTTCCCAAATCTCAGGTCCTCTTCAAAATCACTTTATAACCTACAGTTTTCAGGAATCCTTCTTTAAGGGACTTCCTTCAACGTCCTGACCCACCCCTGATCCCTGAAGAATCTTTCTTAACTGAAAATTGAAGTAAGCCTCTTCTTAACCTTTTGCAGGCCTGTCTTACGGATTAGTTCGAGAAGTCGGGCCATGCACCTACAGAAAAGACTAACAGGCAGTTGTTGGGTCAATACTATCCATGAAGGCAGTCCAGGATCTCCCAAAACGTGTTTAACTAACGGTTAGTTACTAACCCATCCTCTTTTTTACACCGAAACGGCAGGGCACGCCTCCCTTCCTCAAATTCCTTGAACTCATTTACAGAAGAATCCAGAACCATGGGCGGCCTACATGGGACTCAACTGAGGCCGCTTTAACACCTACTAAGTCATGACTTCTGGAATCTTCCTCTTTCCCCGCCCTCCCTCCCCTCCACCAGCCCCTTTATGGATGTGGCGCCTCCTCCAGGCCTCCCTTCCGCCCATGCACCCTGGTTAGTTAGCAGGCAGATGCCTGACCACCGGGTCCCGCAGGAAAGGGTCCCAGGACAAGCTGGTGGGAGCTTGGGATGGCGCTTGGGCCGGGCCAGGAGGATTGGGGCCTAACCGGGAGGGGCACCCCGCCCCCCACGCCGCCCCCACCCTGAATGCTACCCTCCTTCCACCTCAGAGAACAGCACCATTCCCCATACCCCGACTTGCTGTCCACCATTTTGACCCCCAGAACACTCGCGCCCGTGAGTCATATCACCTCGAGCCACCGCCTTCCTACCTTTTCGAGGCCCTGCGTCCTCCTACGCACCCAGCCTCCAATAACCACTTCCCTCCCCGGCCGCCCCCTCCCCAGCCCGCGGCCCCTAGCGCCTGGGGGTAGGGGGTTGGGGGTGAGGTCCGCAGTGGGCGCGGGGGACCACCACGGCCACCACAAGCCCGGCCTTCCACACCCGCGTCCTAGCCACTCACCAGGGCCTTCGCCCTCCCCCGGCTCCACCCCCGGCCTCAGGAAAAGCCTGCACTCAACGCACCTGCCACGCCCCAGAACCCACATGGTCAGGCCCCAATTTCCCGTCCTCTCGCGGGGCCTCAGCGACTGAGTCCATTGGCCAAGCGACGTGCCGCTCACAAGATCCGGCGACCTCATTGGCTCGCCTGCAAAAAGAGCCGCCCCCTGTCTGGCAGTCCCGCTCCACGCGGAGGTTCCTGTACCAAAGGGGAACTAGAAACGGGGGTCCCCGCGAAGTTAGGGGTGAACCGAAGCCTAAAAATGTGTCACGTTGTTAAGATCCTGACTCCCTTTCCGTAGGCGACTCCTGTAAACAGGTTTAGCTTATACACGCTCAGGCTGAAATTGGTTAGAGGATAGAGGTGGTGAATTGGAAAGAGTAAACGAGTTTACATTGAAACACCTAATTATGCGATCTCTCCACCTTATTTGTAAAATAAGAATAAAGGCACTCATGTATAGAGTTGTATGGGAATGTATATATACATTCGTGAGAAAAGGTATGTCAAATACTTAGCACAAGGAGTAGATTGCCTGCAATAAATGTTGCCTGTCTTTACTTTTTGATGCCTAAATCTGTGAGCCAAGAAGAGCTTTCTTCAAACTATATAAAAAGTATTGCTGTTTAATTCTGCTATAACTGAATACTTTCACCCAAAGAAATACATTTCTCTCTCCCAACCATTTTGCCAAATAATTGCATCCCTCTCCAACCCCAGTGTTTCTGAGGTGATTGGAGTCAAGATTTGCGAGACCTTGGTTTACCCTGTAGAGCCATGCAAATTCTCTGCATGGTATAAGGCAGAAGAAAGTTTTTCCAAGCCTCAGATAGCTTATATCTTGTTTTACTCCATACATCCAAGGATTCTCCTTTCCTTCCCAATAAAGTTTGGAAATTATTGGAGCGGGAGGATTTTCAAAGCAGGAATCTATTGGCAGAATACCTCTTTGCTCTTTGTAGATATTATTTGTTAACATTATATCACATAATATTGTTAAGTTCTACTGCACAACCTTATGTTATAATAACGTATAGGCAGTATTATTTTGTTGCTCATGCAAATATTTAGCAGCAGGTGCACTCAGAAACAGTAATACAGCCCAGCAGGTGTGGCTCAGTGGTTGAGCATCAACCTCTGAACCAGGAGGTCAATGTTAGATTCTGGGTCAGGGCACATACCCAGGTTGTGGCCTTGATCCCCAGTAGGAGGTAGCCAATCTTTGATTCTCTGTTATTATGCATGTTTTTATCTCCCTTTCCCTTTCCTTTCCTCTCTGAAACCAATAAAAATATTTTTTTAAGTTAAATAAGGTCATAAAGACGGGCCCTATTCTGATAGGATTGATGTCTTGAAAGAAAGAGACATCAGAAATCTCTCTTTTTCTCTATGTGAGCAGAGGAACATCCATGTGAGGACACAGCAAGAAAGTGGTGGCTGTCTACAAGCTAGGATGAGAGCTCTCACCAGAAACCAAATTTGCTGGCCCTTAATCATGGACTTCTAGCCTCCAGAACTATAAAAAATTAAATGTCTGTTACCTAGGCTGCCCCATCTGTGCTATTTTGTTATGATAGCTTTAGCTGACAAATCCTATCTAATAAAGAGGGAATATGCTAATTGACCCTCACACTGTCTCAAAGATGGCAGCGCCCACAGCCAGTAAGGAGGGAATATGCTAATTGACTGCCCCAACCTCAAGGATGGTGGCACCCACAGGCACAAGATGGCAGCACCCAGTCCTCTCAGCCCCGTTGGGGTGGCATGGCAGGTGCATGCCTGCCTCCAGAATCCCCCAGTTCCCTCAGCCCCCCACCTGCCCAGGGCCAGCCCGAGTTGCAGGCAAGCTGCCCAGCCACCCAAGGCCGCCCAAGGCTCACGTAACCAGGCCCATCTGAGGCTTGCACTGCCAGCAGTGGCAGCAGCAGAGGTATGATGAGTCACCTCCCACCCCTGAGGGCTCCTGGACTGTGAGAAAGGGCAGGCCTGGCTTAGGGATTCCCCCTCTGGTGCATGAATTTTTATGCACCAGGCCTCTAATATAATAATCATCATCAGCAAGGATGTTATAGTGTAAGTGCCTGAGATTAAGCTTTTGATTGCCAAGGAATACATTTCAAAGACATCCATCTTGAATAAACATATTGTCAGCCAAACAAGTAGATCAAGAACTAGGCTGTCCCCACCCATGAAGTCCCCCTTTAAGAAAGCCCTAGGTAACTTAGATAACTGATCTCTTGAAAGCCCCTTCTTTTCCCTTCCTTGACCCTAATTTCTGCTCTTATCTTGTTGTTGTTGTTGTTGTTTTTTGTTTGTTTGTTTTGTTTTTACTCTTCACCCAAGGTCATGTTTATTGACTTAAAAAGAAAGAGAGATGAGAGAGAGAGAGAGAGAGACAGAGAGAGAGAGAGAGAGAGAGAGAGAGAGAGAGAGAGAGAGAGAGAAACATCAATGTGAGAAAAAAACATTGATAGACTGCCTTCCCTACATGCCCTGACCGGGCACCAAACCTGAAACCTGTGTATGTGCCATGACCAAGAATCAAACCCACAAACCCTTTGGTTTAGGAGGACAATGCTCCAACCAATTGAACTACCTGGCCAGGGTCTGCTCTTATGCTTTAAATTTGTCAATAAAGAGTGAATCCATGAAACCTTAAGCACCCCATCCTCCACCCTAATAAAGCCAGAACTCCAGGTCTGCACTCTCTTCCTTTGCCCCCATTACATTGCTGTGACTCCAAGATTTGTAAGTCATAAACCTCGCTTTTTCCAATTTCCCGGATGGTTGTTGCTGAGGTGCATCTTGCTAGTACAAGAACCCCAGCTCCAACATTGGCTCTGATCAGGAAATGTCTGTGAGGACTCATAGACAGACAGGCTGAGACTAACACAAAACAGATGTGACAAAATCTGGAACCCTAATACATCCCTGCCGAGACTGTGAAATGGTGCAGTTACTTTGGAAAACATTTGGCAGTTTCTCAAAAAGTTAAACAAAAAATTATTGTAGGGATAAAAAGTTCCATTTCTGGCCCTGAGTGGTGTGGCTCAGTTGGTTAGATCATCGTCCTGTACACCAGAAAGTCACAGGTTCAATTCCCAGTCAGGGCACATACGTAGATTGAGGTTTGGTCCCTTCTGAGGTGAGTGTAGGAAACAACTGATTGATATGTCTCTCCTACATTGATGTTTATACTCTCTCTCTCTCTCTCCTTTTCTAAAAAAAAAAAAAAAAAAAAAAAAAAAAAAAAAAAAAAAAAAAAAAAAAAAAAAAAAAAAAAAAAAAAAAAAAAAAAATAATAATAATAATAATAATAATAATAAAATACACTTCTTGGTAATTACCTAAGAGAAATGAAAACATATATCCACGAAAAACTTGCATGCGAGTGTTCATAGCAGCCTTTGGAGTTGAGCCAAAACTTGAAAATAACTTTAATGTCCATCAACTGGGAATGGATAATAAAATGTGGCATATCCACACAAGAAGCAGATTCAGCAACAAAGGAGACAAACTACTATGCTATGCCATGGATGAACCTCAAAACATTATGTTAAGTGAATGAAGCCACATACAAGAGACCATATAGTGTATGATTCTGTTTACATGAAAAGCCTACAAGACATGAATAAATAGAGACAGAATGCAGAGTAGTGGCCTGGGAATGGGAATGAGGATGACCTGTCAATGGACCTGAGGGAACTTATTAAGTGAAGTGAAAATGCTTTAAAATAGATTTATGGTGGTGTCTGTGCTTGAAGCTAATTCCAACAAGTCATAAATGCAAGAAGTTCATCAAAAGGTTGGTGGGCCTTGAGCCTTCAGCAAGGGCTGGAAAATACATATTATATTATTGCCTGTTGAAAATGGCTAAGGGCATTTCCCCAAACCTGAAAAGGATGCATAAATGATTGCTTGCTGCCAGACAGCTGAAGGCATTTCAATCTGGCCAAACACCTGAACAGCCATAGGCAGTTCCTTCAATCTGACAGAGGATTCTGTATACTAAACTTTGGCCTTTGATGTGTATATCCACCTTGCTTTAGGAAATTTGTGTTAATAAAAGGCAAGGGGTCCAGAGAGACAGGAGCACTTGGTTTCTTTAGCTAAGTCTTCTCTGGCCCTTCCAAAATTATGTTTTGTCTCTGAACTCTTTAATAATTTACAGAAGCCCCTTTTCCAGATTCCTGAATCCCTTGCAGATGCTGAGAAACACACAACGGCAGTGTCTGTACTTATTAAATTTACACTTGAATTGTACACTTGAATAAGATGAATTTTATGATGTGTATAATATAACTTAATGAATCTATTTCTTAAAACTCATATTAAGAAACAAACAAGCTACAATGAACAGGATCAGACCTACAAAGACTTCAAAAAAATAATTGGACACAGAATATAAATACATTTTTAATATATTTTTAAAAATAAAGGTGGCTCCCTGGATGGGTTGCTCAGTGATTAGAGCATCAGCCCTCAAACCAAAGGGTCTTGTGTTTAATTCTTGGTCAAGGGTACATACTTAGGTTGCAGGTTCAATCCCAGTCCTAGTTGAGGTGTGTATGGGAGACAACCAATTGATGTATCTGTTTGACATCGATGTCTCTTTTCTCTCTCTCCCTTCTCCCTCTCTTCCACTCTCTCTAAAAATCAATGGAAAAAAATATCCTAAGGTGAGAATTAACAAACAAGAGAGAGAGAGAGAGAGAGAGAGAGAGAGAGAGAGAGAGAGAGAGAGGGAAAGAGGGAGAGAGAGAGAGAGGTGGCAATTAAAATCTTGAGTAAAGAACTAAAGCTATCAGAATTGACTAGGCAGAGTTAAAAAGATAGAAGTTCTAAGAAAAGAAAAAAAAATTGCCGAAACCGGTTCAGCTCAGTGGATAGAGCATCGGCCTGCGGACTGAAAGGTCCTGGGTTTGATTCGGTCAAGGGCATGTGCCTTGGTTGTGGGCACATCTGCAGTGGGGGGTGTGCAGGAGGCAGCTGATTGATGGTTCTCTCTCATGATGTTTCTAGCTCTCTGTCCCTCTCTCTTCCTCTCAGTAAAAAATCAATAAAATATATTTTAAAAATAAATAAATAAATAAATAAATAAATCTTTATTGTTGGAAGTATTACATATTCCTCCCATTGACTCCTTCCAGCCCTCTGACCCAGGCCCTCACCACTCCATTATTTGTGGCCATGGGCCATGCATACACTAAGTGGCCAGATTATTATGATCTCTGAACATAATAATCTAGTCACTTGGTGTATATATCCTATGTAATAAAAGGCTAATATTCAAATTGTCCCCTCGACCAGGAGGAGTTCGACCAGGAGGAGTTCGACCAGCAG